AGATCAAGGCTAGGTAAGATAAGATAAAATACATCTTTATTGTCCAGATCTTGGCACATTGGGTAGAGAACAGGAAAGGAGGACACTGCAGAAGTCAATACAATCATGTACGCTCCCCCCCCCCCCTGTTTTTATATTTTTGCTGTTATTTTGAGATTTTTAAATTTACTTTTTTTTTTGGGGGGGGGGGTTGGGGGGGGTTTACATTACAATTACTCAATGTAAGGACGGTCACGTGTCTATTACGGCCACTTTTCTCTGCACCAGTGGACGGCCGTCTTAGACAGTTTCGACTATACTGTTTATCTTCGTCAAACATTTCTCTATTCCAGGATCAAGGGTGGTTGGCGGGTGCTCGACTGGTGTGGTTTATTCCTTCTTCTTTCCTATCATCTACCTTTCGTCCTTACTTGGATTTACTTGGATCCAGAGCTAGAATCATAGCAGGCGGCACATGTCCATAGCTGCTCATCTCTCCTTTCCAGCGTCCACCTCAGGGTCTTCCTGCTAATTGTCTCCATGAGGAGCTGGTTTGAGACACGCCTGACCACTCCTCGGAGCAAACTTTTTTTCGCTGTGCCCCGCACTCACTTTTCTTTTATTGTGCTGAGTCCTTATCTCGCCCCCTTCTTTTTTGTGTTTGTTACTCTCTTGTAAAAAGTTCAAATCTTCGTCACTTATGTGACCTAATTACAGTAAAGCACGGATAGCTAGAATCCGTCGGGACTGGCCTCGGTAGTTTGAGAGATCCGTAGTCAAGGGATATCTTCCTATAAAGATAAAAAGAAACAGAACGGGACCGCAGCTTCGGAGGATGCGTGATTTCGGGTCTTCTGTTTTCGACCTATCCGTGTTATACTGTATGTTGCAAGAGCCGTAAAACATTTACTAAAACAACCCCCCCCCCAAAAAAAAAAAAAAAAAAAAAGATTAATTTTAAAAAAATTATATATATATATATATATATATATATATATATATATATATATATATATATATATATATATATATAGATAGATGGTTCTATATAATATATATATTCCAGGATCGGGTGGGGAGACTCATGACTGACGCCCTCTACCAGCCGTCAGGGATGACCTACAAGTATGGGACGGCCTGGGAACTTCTCAGATGTAAGTGTCTCTCCCCGCCCCTTGCCACCCTCGAAAATACACCATGGCCATGATCATTATTATATTTATTACTAATAATCATTATCAATATTATTATTAATATTATTATTATTATTAGTAGTAGTAGTAGTATTGCTATTACTATTAATACCATTATTTTAATTGTTGGTGGCGGCGGTGATGTCTTTACCACTATAATAATAATAATAATAATAATAATAATAATAATAATAATAATAATAATAATAATAATAATAATAATAATTTTTATTATTATTATTATTATTATTATCATTATTACATGTATCATTACTACTACTACTATTATTATCATTATTATTATTATTATTATTATTATATTTGTTATTATTATTATCAGTATCATTACTACGTATATTCCGCTTACATCGATGTGCTCTGGGAAGTGGATTTGATGTCGATATATATATAAAATGGAATTGTCGATAAATGAATACATTTGTATAAAGCTGTTGTAAGCTGTATGACTTCGGGATAGAAGTCGAGTACGGTAGGCTACCTATTTGACACTGCGTGAGTTGCAGTCGAGGCGCAGAGCAGAGAGTTGTCAGGTCCAGTCAGTGCAAGTGGGATCGCTACAAGAGGTGGGTGTGCATAGTTTTTTGTGTGTATAGTTAAGCCACAAAAGCCAAAGAGGAAAAACAAGGGGAGGTCAATGGTAAATAGGCAACACTACTTTTGAAGGCTGGTTGCTTCCCTTGATTCTTACACAACCAAACAATGCAACTAACAAGAAGCAGAGAAGGAGGGGGGGGGGAGGGGGGGGGGGGGG